GATAGGCCCAAAATCAGCCCCAAAGGCAGACGGGTGAGGATGGATAGATTAAAACAGGGCTTTCCCATAGGGTCAATATTGATCCTCTTAGAGTTAATAAAAGTTTGAAGAAATCGAATGTAAAAAGCGAGTAAATGTAGGAAGAGACCCTTTAAAAATTATGTAGATAGCTGTTGCATATATATTTATATACAATATTGAAGGTGGTCGAAGAAAAAAAATTGTTCTTAAAATGGATCGATGCATAAATAAGGTTGGGAACCCCTGAATTAAGGCAAAGCAACATTTGGGCAATCTGTCAAAGAGATCTTCCAATAGAAATATGGAATACTGGCCCCTATTTAGGTGTTAGACTCATAAAAAGTTCCCTAGGAGGTGTTACAACCATAAGTTTTGTATTTAAGTAAGAAGGTAATTATATTCTTTCTCCTACCGTTATAAAAAAGTACTAATTTCTAAGAATGAGCACAAATTGAAATTATAGAAGAAATTAGTCAAGATTCTGTGTATTCTTAAGCATCAAATTCTCAATAAAATGTATATATTTAGATTTAAAAGATTTAGAGATATTCTACATTATATTATCGCTTTTTATGAGATTTTTGAGTGGGTTCTTCTAGCCGGAACCTATCCAATGTATACAAAATATAAGGAATTTAGAAAATAATTGCCAAATTTACAAATTTACTAAAGTTTAATGACCTGGGTATATCTTTTAACTTTTTAAAATTCTTTTCATTGCTAAGATTATTACATTTTAATGTATTTGGCCTATTTATCCTTTATTTTTATTTTGTAAGTTATTAAGAGAAATTATAAGAGAAATTGAAGGTATGTTAACTATAAGTTTTATTATCAGAATGTCCGGTTTTTTGCTGAATATTCTATTAGAAATTCATTATTAATTGCTTAAATTGTTGTAAATGTATTTACAGAAATACTTTTATAATTTTATCATGTTTTTAATTACAGCTGTAGTATTTTTATCTTTCCTTCCTTCTTCTTCTTCTCTCTCTTCCCTCTGTTCCTTCACTATGTTTTTTCTCCCTCATATGTAATTATACACTCCCCTTACGTATAACTTGCACTATTTTAAATTAATTAAATTATTTAAATAATTTATTTTAATAAAGTATTCTATAATTTATAAAAAGCTTATATGTAATTTTATTACTTATTATTTTTTATATAATATTATTTTTAAATCGTTTATTTATTGTAAGCTGTCTCTATCTATACTTCAGCATCAATCATCAGAATAATGGAAGATAACGAGGAGAAAAATCTGTAAAAACAAAAACCGGAAAGCCATAAGTACATTTTTTTTCTTTTATTATTTAATAAGTAATAATTTAAAATAAAATTTTACATATTAAACTTTTTTACTTTAACAAATTTTTTAATTGAATTTCTTTTATTAAAGTATACTTTTATCAATATCTAAACTAATTTATATATTTAAATTGTTTTAAATTTAATTTTTTAAATTGTTTTTAGTAAATTAAATAAAATTTTACTTAAATAAAATATAATTTACATCTAAAAAGTAGCTGCACGTATTAATAAAAATAAGCTTTAATAAACAAATTGGAATTTTTTATTTATAATGTTTTAAAATTTATTTAAAATAATTTAAAATGTTAAGAATAAACTAAGAGCTCTTTAATTGAAATAAAGTATTAAGAAAACAATATTAAATTTCTCACAAAAACATAAAAGTTTAAAAAAAAATAAACATAGAAGTCGTTAACGATACGTTTGTATGTTAAACCGCAATAAAAATCTCCCAAATTTGATTATAATTTCCGCAAAATTTTAACATAATTAACATTAAAGTACACCTTTCTTTTTTTAAAGTACTTAATGACTATTTAATTAATTAACATCGTATCGGAAGATCTGACATATTTATTAAGTTCCGTTAACTTTCAATTATTGTTTATATAGGTTAAGTGCAAAATAAACTGGTTCTGCTCGAAGGAAAATATTGTTTACATTAAGTTCGTGTTTATTTAAAATGATTAGAAATAAAAATCCAAAACATCAGAGAGATCACTCTTCTCACATCTGGGATGTAACACGATACACCCTACTGTATAGTACTGTACTCTACAGCACATATCTATGGTGAAGTCTGTCCTGGAAGTTTGTTTTCAGAATTTTCGACCCTCCTAGCTTTAAAATGGCATGATTTTCATACCCAAAATGTTCATTTTTAAGACAGAAATTCATTTCTTTTTATGTCACCAGCGTACGCAGATTATCATTATTAATTGATACGAGTCAGAAATTTGAAATTTATTCGGTGATAGTTGGGTATTATCAACAAGTAGAAATAGTATATCATGAAAAAAGAAAATAAATATTGTAGAAATTATTATATAAACAATATGATAAATGCTAAGAAAATATTTTTCAGAAGGGAAAAAGTATAAAGTTTCCAGTTTGAAAGGATAAAAATAGATAGTTACAGAAAAAGAAGGTTGACATGGGATGAGCACACACGTGGAAGAAGAGAAATTCCAAAAATACATAGATCTGATAGGTTTAAGGAAGTCAGATCTTTAAAACATGTCAGTTAATTCAAACTTATGCAACGTTTTAAAGAGAAAATTCGTTTAAAAAAATGAAATTTCATTTATTAAATAATTCTTTAAGTCCTAAATTCATAGTTATACCACAATTTAATAAAATTAATTTACTTTTTAAACACTTTATATCAGGGGATAAAGTGTGCTCAAAAGTCAAGAATGAAGGGAAGAAGAGTGAAGAAGACTTCATTTTCTTAAATTAATGCATAAAAATTATTAAAATATTTTATAATAAATCAAAATTATTACGTGTATTGTATTATTTTCCCTTATTTTAAACATTTATTAACATTAAATTAATTATTTAATTCATTTATAATGGAAGAATGAATGCAGTTGTAGTAATTTTATTAAACAATTTATAATTAATTTATATAAACAAAAACAT